GTTTTGACAAATGACAGAGCGAGATATGTCAATGTTCAAGTAACGAAACTCTGGTAACGGAAACATTACCAAATCTATTATAGACAAGTTATATAAAGGTTGCCTAAATATGTACAGGGTGATTCTTTTATCATGGGAAATGAGTTTTTCTCGTAAATGGCTGCAGCAAATTGGGTTCTGTAAAAAGTATTTTATTTGGGCTGGTTATTGCTTGAAATTGGGATGGATAAGGAAGTTATAAATAAACGACGCTGGGCGTCGCGACGCTTTAATTTTTTTTTTGTCAGAAGCATACCATTTTTATTTCAGAAATTGAAAGATCTATTCAATAAAAACACTTTTTTTAAATACTATTTTTTTCCATCTAAAACCATTCAAAAATTACAGACCAGTTTTTATGTTCCAAATTTCTAGATTGCCATACAAAGAATGCATGGTATTTTAAATTTCACTAAATCAGGTAGGCTTTGAAAAAACATAATTGGCTTATATTGATTGATGTCTGAAACTGTCAGTGTAATTTCAATTATTCCTATTAAAATAGTGAGTAATAAGAAATATGTTTACACATTCAGATAAAGTTGACATGCTTCTTTTATACGGAGAAGCCCAAAAAAATGGTTTAGCTGCAAGAAGATTATATGCGGAAAAATACCCCGAACGCAACCTTCCAGACCACAAAATGTTTGCCAGGTTAGAAACTAGTTTACGTCAAAACCCTAAAGCATTTGAAGGTAGGTTTTGTGTTTTTTAATAAATCCCCATAAATTGAATGAGCCAAATTTGCAGGTAAAAGATCAAGAACAAAAACTGTCACGACGGATGAAAATGTGGCAATTATTTTAAATTATTTTAACAATCACCATGAAGCTTCTATAAGAGAGGCTTCAAGAGACTTAAATTTAAATTATAGTGTGATACAAAGAGTTTTAAAAAGCAACAAATACCATAACTATAAATTTCATAATTTGCAAGAACTTTCGCTTAGAGATTTTGAGAGGAGGAAGGATTTTATTTGTCAGTTTTTGGTGTCTTTGGATGACAATCCTAATTTATTTTCTCATATACTATGGACAGACGAAAGTCATTTTGTTAGTCATGGATTACCAAACAAAAAAAATACCCATTATTGGTCAGACGAAAACCCGCGCAAAATCAGACAACATCAAATACAGGGACACTTTGGCATAAACGTCTGGTGCGGAATAGTCAGGCGGCACTTAGTAGGGCCATACTTTTATGAAGGCGCCTTGACGGGCCCAAGATACTTAGATTTTCTCCAAAATCACCTTCCTCTTTTGCTGGAACATGTGCCACTGCAAATCAGAAGAAACTTATGGTTTCAACTAGATGGAGCTCCTTGCCACAATGCGGTCATTGTTCAAAATTATTTGAATGAAGTCTACCACGGAAGATGGTTGGGGACACACGGGCCCTTGAAATTTCCGCCTAGATCTCCGGACTTGACATCCTTAGATTTATTTTTATGGGGAATTTTAAAAAATATAGTGTATAAAACAAAATCTAATAATTTAGATATTTTAAAACAAAAAATTATTGATGCGTGCAATGGAATATCTGGTGATGTTTTAAGAAAAGTTACATCTTTCGAAATAAGAAAGCGGTACAATTTATGTGTGGATAACGATGGCGCATATATCGAGCAATTGTTAAAATAAGATTTGTGAATTAGCAATTAATTTTTACTAAATACAGTTCATGTTATTCTTTAATGTTTTATGTATGTTTTATGGGTTGTTAGTGTAAACTTTGATTATTTCCTAAACAATTACATAAGTGTTATTAAATGTAGGAACATCTTGTAAATTGTTTTCTTTAAATCCTAAATTATATTTGTTGTCAATATCAGCATAAAAGTTAGCCTGCCTGATTTAGTGAAATTTAAAAACCCAGCATTTTTTGTATGGCAATCGACAAATTTAAAACATAAAAACTGGTCTGTAATGCTTGAATGGTTTTAGATGGAAAAAAATGGTATTTGAAAAAAGTGTTTCTATTGAATAGATCTTTTAATTTCTGAAATAAAAATGGTATGCTTCTGACAAAAAAAAAATTGAAGCGTCGCGACGCCCAGCGTCGCTTATTTATAACTTCCTTATCCATCCCAATTTTAAGCATTAGCCGGCTCAAATAAAATACTTTTCACAAAACTCAATTTGCTGCAGCCGTTTACGAGAAAAACTCATTTCCCATGATAAAAGAATCACCCTGTACAATACTATATTATATTACTATAGGTGTTCAAACGAATTTATTTGTAAGTTATTTTAATGGTTTTCACAATGTTTCTGTTACTGTTACTTATACAACTTTAAGTTATTAGCGTTACTAAACAAAGGTGTTCGCGACCTTTATAAATGCTCCATTTAAGCTCTTTAAGAGGTTTATAGCAGCAAGCGAAATGTTACGGTTGTCAAATATATAACTGTAAGTTTTATAAGTAAAGTGCTTTAAAAGTAACGGTAACTACTATACAATCAAAAATGTTTATTGGGTAATACACAATTAGCAAAGGAAAATGGAAAAACTTTGTAGTAATAATATGAAAAAAGTACCAATGTTTTACCAAAAATAATATTATATGGAATAAACAAATTAAAACTTACTGAAGAAGGCCATCGTATCAGGGGTGCAAGATTTGTTAATATATAAAAAAACTTACACAATTTTTGTGTGTTTAATTTTGATAAACCTTAGACTCAAGAAACCCCGAAAAAATACAAAAATAACTTACAAAAATTGATAATTTTTCCAAAATTTCCACACTAGTATAAATTTTATCTCTAAATTTGCAGGCGATGTCAAAAAGTTAATATTATTTAGAAGTGGTAGTTTTTGTAAGGTTTGTGGTTATTTTTATTAATAACTTTTTGATAATAACTTTCTGCAGAAGCTAAATATATTTTCCAATACTACTTAATTTTTCACACAAATAAAAGTAGTCTTGTTTCAAACGGTATTCGATAAAACTGAATATAAAAATATAAGAAACGGTTTAGCTACGGGAAAGCCAAGGAAAAGCATAGAAAAAAAAGAAGAGAAGAAATTATTCATTACAATAATATTTTGTATAACAAGAGTGGATATGATAGCCATATCGCACGAACGCAACACGGAAAAAATGTGACTAGAAAATTTTACTACAATGTTGTAGTAGTAGACTTGTAGAAAAATACTTAACAATTTGTAGAAAATTTTACTACAATTTATAGTTAAAAACTATTCATTATTGTAGCAATTGAATTGTCGAATAAAATGCTACAACAATAGTAAAGAATTCCACAATGTTTAGTATATTTTACTATTGTTTGTAGAAGTAGAAATTTATTACAATTATCGTAATTACTACTACTAACTTCTGAAAAAATTTGTACAAATATTAATAATTATCTCTACAAAAAATAGTAATTTTCTCTACAAAAAATAGTAATAATTTACATTCCTTCTTATGAAAAATATTCAATTTTGTTCAAAAATATTCTATAATATTGTAGAAATTCTAAGTCATGTGAACAAAACAGAATTCTGCTATTGGCCAACGTTTTCTGACGTCGATTATAAATGGCCAGACAGCAGTAGCCGTTCGCCATGTTCACATAACAAAGCATGGTACATATACGAGTACCTATAACACATTATTATATTATAAGCACCGATGCGTTTGAGAAAATTTTAATAATAAATTCTATTGGTGGTAAGTACATTTATTGTTTTTGAATAATTTACCTTTAGATAACTAATTTAAATAACCTTAGTAGATTATTTAAAAAAAAAATAGTTGTGGCCAACGATCGAATGTTGTGCCCAAGATCGAATTTTGTGCCAAATTCAATGATTTTTTTTGTCTTATTTGTGACATACCTACTTTCTCATTTTTGTTAGTTATCTGACTTAGTCATTTAATATCCAAATCAGTGTAAAGGTGATAAATATCTCCGTTTTAAGGGTATGAACAGTTCAATTGTTATTAATTTTTATTTCATATTTTTCAGGTGCAGAAAAGCCAACTGAGACTGAGGGTGCTATTATTACTGTTATTTATTACATAATGTAATTAAGACTTTGTATCTTTTATATTAAAACAATAAATTGAATATTTTATTAAGGAACATTTTTTTCTAGGTTATAATTATAATAATTATGGAATACTTTTATTAAAAATTACTACAATTTGTATGAATTTTTACTATTTATTGTGTAAAATTTTCGTATTTATTTTCATAATACGCAATACATTTTTAATATAAATTCATACAATGAATAGCAAAAATTATAACAATTTGTAGAACAATCCTTATGATGCATTTGGATATTTTTACTAAATATTGTAGATAATAACTCTACAATACATTCTCCACAAATATTTGGAAATGTTTACTACAAATTGTCCCTGTCCCTATATGTACTATTTATTGTAGAGAAAAAATCTATAATTGTAGAAATTTCTTCTACAATTTTTTTTCCGTGAAAGTTTAAGTACGATATGGACAATCTACTCGAATTGTATAGTATATTTTGTCTACCACTTACCAATGAAAATCTACAACTTTAAAATGTTATTTGTGGAGCAAACATGCAAAAGCCGATAAATCAATTTTTTACATTTTTTGGGCTTTTTACTAATTTTGGTGCGCTTTACCGATCTAGCGCATTAGATTCAAGTAAATCCCGATACACCGTATTAAAATGGCACCTTAATTTGTCCATTTCATGCAAATAATGATAAATCCAAATTTCAAGCAAAACCCGATAAAAAATTTTAAACTTCTGCCATCTATGCGGATTACTAAGGTGTTTTTAATATTGTTTTTGGAATTATTTATGATGGATGAAGGAGAAGTCAATGTATCTGATATTAGCATAGGAAGCAGAAAACGCAAAACAAATGAGACAAGACGGCAGATGCAAAAAAGCAAAGGTAAAAATTTACATTAGCGTCTTTTTTGGAACGCGTTGTTTACTTTCTGTTTGTTTTTTAGATACAAAGATGACGATCCGGATTTTAAAAAGGTTTGCGATTATAAAGAACCTACATATATGTGTGAAAATATTGCAGTAAGTGATGTACGTGCTTTACGAGGAAAAATTTTTGACACTAATAATAAAGTGGACCAAGATACTAAATTGTGCCATTACATGTCAGTAGTACCGATTGATAGAAAAAGGGCTAAAAGGGGCACAATCCAGAAGTCGCAATTTTTCAGTGCATTATTTTCTGCCCAAAAGAGTGTCCATGAAAAAAATTCAGGTATGCCAGACTTTTTTCTCAAATGTGTTAATGTAAAAAAAGACCGAATTAATCGCATAGCGCAGGTTTTATCTGAAGGGAATATTCCAAAAGAAAACCGTGTCCGCTAAATCTGTTGAAAAAAAAGTTAAAGTAAAATAATTCATTGGAAACCTAAACGGAAAGGAAAGTCACTATAATAGAGAAAAGTCGAAAAGGATTTATTTAGATGCTAACTTAAACAAAAAAATTGCACATGTATCAAAGTCAGTGCATTGTTGAGCATAAAGTTAACTTTTCTATGTTTAGAAGAATATTCGTGAATGACTTTAATATGGCTTTTCTAGTCCAGCCACCGATATTTGCGCAAAATGTACTAGGCTTAAATACTTGACCAAAAGTGAAGGTGACACAGAAAAGAAAAGGGGGTTACAAATCGAACTTACAATTCACAAAAAGAGGGCTAATGCTTTTTATAGGCTGCTAAAAGAGAACCCTAACAATTCAATTACTTTTTGCTTTGATCTTCAATAAATTCAGCCTTTGTCCAAAACCCCATTTAATGATGCGTTTTATGCGCAACAAGTTAGCATGTATATTTTTTGTTGCGTGGACAGTCAATCCAAAAAACCAACTTTTTTTACTTGGACGGAAGATATGGCAGGAACAGGATCAATCGAGGTAGGATCTGCACTTTTAAGTTATTCATTGAATTATGACGATATCACCACAGTTCGTCTATTCTGGATGGATGCGGAGGACAAAATAAAAATAATCATATTTTGCACACTCTATACTTCTGGCTTAGATTTAAAGCACCAATAAAAGTTACAAAATTACAAATAATTTTTTCAGTAAGGGGTCATTCCTTCCTACCAGCCGATAGAGTATTTGGGCGGGTAGAAAAACTTCTAAGAAAACAAGCTAAAATCCTTTCAAGAAAGCATTATAAAGAAACTTACGAAAAAGTTTGAGTAGTAAAAAGATTAGGCATTGACTGGAGACTTTTTAATGTAAAAACACCACTCCAAGTGGGTTTAAAACAGGTTAAAGGACAGAAATGAAAAGAGTAGTTTTTCAAAAATTTAACGATGGAGCGTTGATTAAAATATGCGCATTTGAAAACTTTTACTACTGCTCAGGAACAGAAAAGTTTGAAAAATTGTTAAAACCTAAGTTTTCGGATCTAGATTTAACAATAGTGGACAAAGATACCAAACGTGGCATTCCAGAGAAGAAAAAAAAATCTCTTCAGCATTTGCTAAATCAGCAATTTGGTCTGAATTGGAAAAAGTCAGAGGATCTGCAATGGTATCGGACATTACTTCATGGAAATACATTACTTAATGAAGAGGGGGATTCCATTGTTGAACCGGAAGGTATATGCGACTCTCTTGAAGAGGAAGTGGCTGTTCATATTTAGTTTTTTTTTTTTTAATAAAATGTTTTGTACAAACTCTTTCTGTGTTAACTGTATGCTCCATATTCACTGTTTTGCTTTGTGCTATGAATAATAGTATATTACATTACGAGTGTGGAAAGTGACATTTTTCACACGAGTGGGAAATATTGTCGCACGAGGCGTAAGCCGAGTGCGACTATCACACGAGTGTGGAAAATCACTTTTCACACAAGTGATGTACAATATTTTTCCTACGACCACAAAATAATTTCATCAAAAAATGTAAAACCAGATTATTATAATAATTAAAATGTATTTAAAAAAATAATCAACAATAATCGTATTTATTAAATTTTCATAATTTCTAAACAAATAAAAAAAAAATTAAAAAAAAATTCTGGCACAGCCAGGATTCGATCGCGGTCGTTGGACGGTCTCAAATTGCAAAGTTGATGCTCTAACCAACTGAGTTAACAGGCCTTACGGTAATTGATTGATCTAATCGCTTATGTGTTTAACCAGAATAAAAAGCAAATATATCTTAGTTATTTTAAAATTATTTTAAAAATAATTGTTAAAGATAAATATCTAGGATCTAATTTACAATAATTTAACAATCATATCGATTTTAGTATTAATATGGACATTACATAGATCAAAATAGAAATTATGTGTTTGACATTTTCTGACAGCTACTGCGGAAAGTAGCATATTCTCACTTGGGTGGAAAGTAAATTCTTATTCATACGCGTGTGATATAGGGCACTTTCCATAGGTCTATATAGTGTGATATGTGTCACTTTCCTAAGTGGTCGTAGGAAAAATATATATTTAGTCGTATATGTTATCTATTTCTATTATCACTATATTTATAAGGAAAAAATAAAATTAAATAGATTTTTAAACACGCCTCTCTTATAAAGCCACAAAAACTTATTTTTCAAGCAAAAACCGATAAATCCAAAAAAAAACTAAAAAAATATAACGACCACGAAATTTTGGGACAATCAAAGACAAACCAAAAAGAGCAAAACCCTTTTATACATTTTTAAAAATACCTAGCGGATTCCGTTGTATATGTTTTTGACCAATATCTAAAAATTAGTAAAACTGGATTTATCGGCTTTTGCGTGTTTGCTCCACATTTTAGGTTATTAAGATAAAATAACCAATTTAAAAATAATTTATGACTTTTACTAATTTATATAATAAAATAAAATTAAAAAAATAATAATTTAATTATTCTCTAATTCTAGAATTGAACCCGGGACCTATGTGTGAAAGCTAAATGACTTGGTCACTGCTCCATCGCCACCCATAATATTTTAGTCGTAATTAAGAGCAAACCAAATACCTTAAACATTTATAATTTCTTTCTGAGCCTTTATTTTTAGTCCGAAATTTTCAGGAAATACCAATATTAACAGAACTTAGTGTTCGAAAACCTTAACTTCTTCTAAAAATGTGTATTTTGAATAAATTTAAAATTATAATTAAGAATAAAACCAGACTTTATCAAGGTGTCGTTATATTACCTTAGAATATCTAGTAAACTGTCATTATTTATTGATTTTTCGTAATAATCTTTTATTTTTAATTGTATTTAATGATAATAAGTAAAAAATATACTGAATTACTTTGAGAGAATTCTTGTTTGACGAAATTGTCACTAATTTTAAATTTTAAAAAGAATAGATAAATATATAAATAAACTATGATTGGCGGATTTTATATCCTTACTAGACCTGTTATTTATATCCGTTCAGTATACTGATATTACCCTCTTATTCGACTACAGTTTGTACACATATTGAATAATAATATTAATGGATTTGTAGATATTCTCAAGATGGAGAAATCTCTACTTATCAAAAAAATTAAAAACTTTTTAATTGTATGTGCTTTCAACAAGATTAATATATTATTTATTGATTTATGAATGCTTTATGAATGATGTATTATCAGTATTTAGCTGTTTGTACCAAAACAAATCAATCAAAATGGATAGATAAATAGTTTTGAAAGTATGAAACAACTGGTCCTTCAAAGTTAAAAATTACGTAGAAAAAAAAAATTATGGATAGAGTGTTTAAAATGTTTTAGAAAAAATAAAAATTCACTAATATACGATTTTTCTATTTATATAATTTTTTTCATCAAAAAACTTTTTCTTATCATTTTTCGTAGTAAACATTTTGTATTTTTAATATACATTTCTATCTTTTTATTATCGCTTTTTTTGTTTATTGAAATATAATATTGTTCTAACACAGCATTTGGTTACCTACTTTAAATTAACTCATTAGGTACTATCAGGGTTCATACGATACATTTTAAAATAACAAAACCAATATTCCTTTAAAGCGAGAGAAGATAATCTGTCTGACAAGTAATGTTACCAAGATTTATAACCATCTTATGCGAACATTTTTCTTTGTTTTTATGGTTGTTTTTAATTATGTAGAAACGTAGAAAGTTTAATGGAAGATGGTTTCTTAGAAGAGGCGACGCTTAAAATTTCGCCAAAACCGAATTAGTCACAAGTAAAGGTAATAAAAATGTTACCACAGCAACCATAAGAATTATATTTGAGCTCGAACAAAGCGAAACCACAGCTGGAATTATCGTTGATTGTAGAGTTCAATATATAGAATACAGAGTGTTTAAATCGCCCTTTATAACCGAGGTATTCTGTATTTTATCAATTTTGGCAATTTTCACTTATAATTTACCCACCACCCTGTATCTTTTTTGACATTTGGCACACGTGTTGTCCATAATTTACCAGATCTAATTCACAGTAGTCACGTCCGTGAAAAAGGATGGTAACAGGATTTAAAAAACCAATAGCGATTATTCTTTATGCAAGAGGTGCAAGAAGAGGCTTTGTTTTAGTGATCTTCTATTTTTTTTTAAATCGTGTACAAAAAGTGATTACTGTCACCACGAGATAAATCACAACAATTTTGTGCAGTGGCTAAAACGACAGTTATTGCACAGTTTAAAGGAAGAGACCATATTGATTATAGATAATGCATCATATCACAGTATTTGCCTAATAGATGATAGATCGGATCACAGACAATACAATTTAAAGACAATTTAACTAAGGCTTTGATCACATTAGAGGCACGCTTCTGCTAGTAATTTGGTGGCGCGTGCGTGCGCAAGCGTGCACATAGAAACAAAATCCTCAGGAGAGTGACAGAAACGTGGTGCTTGTCCATCGCCGCTCACACTGCACGCAACAAGCAAGTGCACGCTTGTGTGAGCTTGATACGAAACAGAAATATTTGGTTTTTAATTGCAAGCGTGCGTGATCTCAGTTGATTTCTGATCATCAAGGCAGTGATAGTGTAGTGTTGTGGAGCTCCTGATTTGTGCTTACGAGTATCGAGTATATGATGGATACAGAAAAAAAAGGATTTAAAAAACTTATTAGGCTGTCTAAGCAAACCATTAAATATTCGTGCATACTCTCCATCTTCCTCTCTGTCTAAAAAATACTCGTTAACTCTTCCCTGATTTCCTGCTCATCCAAAAATAAAAACTTTTTAACACCATTTTCCAAAATAATGCCCTCATCGTGTGACATCTCCATTTTGACTGACGTGATTATAATAATTAACTTGCACCTGCTTGCTTGCATTAGTGTGAGCACATTGCTGTTCCCGTCAGCTTGCGCACGCGCGCTCCACCAAATTACTTGCACGAACGTGTCTCTTATGTGATCGAAGCCTAAACAGTTAGCTCAATCAGACCGGTTGGATGTTCCAAAATAAGGATGGCAAAATAAAAAAATATATCGATATATCGAATCATATGATATATCAAAATAATATATCGATACATTCGATATATCGATTAAAAAATATTGATATTTTGAATATATCGATATATTTTTAATAAAATGTAGAAAAATGCATTTTTGAACAGTTAAAATGCGATTTATTTATTCAGATAAGTAATGAAATATACAATACGTGTTTTTTTTTAATATAGAGGTGAACCAAACTTACTCAAACTTAAAAAAGTAAAAGATACATAATTTGAAAGTTTCTGAGAAGATAACTCAAAAATAATAAATATGAAAATCCCTTGCCAGATATAAACTGTTTCGGCTTTCTGTTGCTGTCAAATCAGCTTTTGAAAATAGTCTAGAACAGAAGCTGCTACTGCAGAAAAATATTTTTATTAACCACTCTGGACACCGGAAATATAACTAAAAATATGCAAATTCATACAACAGACCAAACACCAAACATAAAAAATAACACAAAGAGCCTCGTGCACGCCTGACGTGTTAGCTGCCAACGTCAATTAACGTCGCATGCGCACAAGCGCACGTTTTATGAATAATGTTTTCGATATATCGAAACGATTATATCGATATTTTTTCGATATATCGGTAGTAAAATATCAATTAAAATATATCGATATATTTGTGAAATATATCAATATTTACACAACATCGATATATCGTTGCCATTCCTATTCCAAAATAATATCCACTCCTTCTTCTGAATTTTAATATTATGAAAGTATGCCATATGTTGAAGGCTCAAAGGCATTTGATAACTCTGACGTTTTGATGAACTGTCAGTGTACAGTGAACAGTAACTCAACGTTTAATTTCGAATTTATGTGATTGTTAGTGTTGCAAAATGCCAGATACTTATTCAAATTTAGAATATGCAAATATGGTGTTTGTTTATGGTTTCTGTAATGGAAATGCTACAGGTGCTGCTGAAGAATATCGTCAACGTTTTCGACACCGAAGACATCCTGATAAAAACGTATTTATTAGAGTTTTCAACAAATTATGCGAGACTGGCAAGCTTCCCAGTGCTTTCATAACATCTGAACGCGCTACTCGACAAGGTTTTGTAGAAGTAGAAAATATTCTGCATCTAGTAGAAGAAGATGCAACTACTAGCTCACGGAGAATTGCCACTCAATTGGGAATTCCACAAAAAAGAGTGATAAACACACTCCACGAGCAAGGCTTATATCCTTATCAC